TCAAAATTCAGATTCCTCTTGTTAAGGAGGGAGCTCTGGTAGCATAGTGGCTTAGGCACTTGACTGCTAACCAGAAGGCTGGCGGTTCAAACCCACCAGCCACTCCTCAGAAGGAAGATGGGGCAATCTACTTCCATAGTGATACTGCCTCAGAAACCCAAGAAGGGGTCACTATGAGTCGGGTCTGACTCGATGGCACATAACAACAACAACAACAACTTGTTAAGGACTATCATAAATTTCTAATTTATTCTCTTAAAAAATCTTCAAGTTAATCCTTCAAAGTTGATATCACTTTAGTGAAGTAGAACTAGATCCTTTCTGGAATAAGATGGAGTATAAACAAACAACATTGCTCTTGGTAGCTTGTTTTCTGCACCAAGATCCCTTAAAAGATTTCTCATCTTTATTATAGACTAAGGGGTGTAAAACAGCTATTTGAAGATTAAGCTGTATTCTTTGAACTCATTATTAATATCTCTGTAAAGATGAAAAATAGCTTGCTAGACCCACCTGCAGGGAAAATCTCTCCCATCTGAAAAAGAAAATTGTTGTAATATGACTCAAAGGAAACATTATTGAATTTGCACCCCATGTTATTTTGTTCAATCCAATTTAACTCCATCAGAAATAAAAGCTTGGGTCTGGTAAAAGTTGCAGTTTTACAGAGAAATTCAAAGGTTGACATACCAAACAGGGTGCCTGAATGGCTGAACAAGGTGGTATTTGGTGTGGAAACTCCTCTTCATTATGCCCCCTTCGTCTTTTAAAGTCCCTTCTCTCTTTAGGCCCTCAGGGAGTGGTCTGTGGGTGATTTACCTTAAAGCTAAAGAAGTTAAAGTCAGGGTCTCTCACTTGTATGGGCACCTTCCTAATTTGGAGCTAATTTTGTGTTATTTCCTTAAAGAGGGAACCCCACATTATGTAAACTTCAGGCTCCACAAAACCTGGATATATGCTCCCACAACCAAAGATCTCTCTCACCCATTACAAAGGTTCTTTGTAGGCAGGTTCTTTACTTCATGGAATAAGTATAGATATATTTCTACAAATCTTCCTTTCCCATGACTTTATTTTAGACATCTTTTTAAAAATTGTGCAAATAATATAGTAAAAACATAAATGATTTATCTGGAATCCATCCCATCATCTCAGCAGGTTACCTATTATTCTCTCCTGTGGTACCTTCTAGTTTTTGTCCACAAGTCTACATAACTTTATAATTATCCTAGGATCCTAAAGTTTTATCTTGATAAATATGGTTCACTTTACAAAGTCCCCTTTATTGCACCTCCATCTGACACTTATTGCTTCATAACTTGCCTATGACTGTATCACAGCATTCAACAGAGAGGGCGGCAGAAAAGTGCACTGGCTGGCACTTCAGTGGAACTCGGGGAAATGAGGCAGTGCTGGTACACAGGAGGGCGGGCAAATGTGAAACTGCAAGGGCCATGGCTGGTTTGTCCACCATTTACGCTTAGTGCTTAGCACAGGGCCTGACATCTAGTAAGCATGGAAACAGTGACTGAGTGACTAATCTGGTACTCAACTAACCCAAATCTGCTTTGGTTTTTTGGGTATGGAACAAAACTCTAACTAATAGCAGTTGACTTCCTTTTTCCCACTAAAGATAAATGCTGTCTAGTTAACTGATTGACTGATTTTAAAAGATCTACATTGAGTATGTGTTATGACAAAACATAACTGGATCACTTGGGATCATGAGAAAGCCATAGGAGGAAAATTCCAGAGAGAGTGAGTTCTTTCCCACCCCTATCACTAGCCTCTGCTTTATGGCTAGAGATGAAAAAGGAGAATGGAGAAGTTTTTAATCTTTTAAAAAGACATCTTATTTCAGTTTTGCAAGAGAGTTGGAAAATACAGAAAAATGACAAAAAAAAAAAAAAAAAAGTAATTTTACTTAGGGAAGGCATAAAATTAGAGCTCTTTATTAGTTTTAATAGAAGATTATGATACTAATCTGCAAGAAACTGGGCTATACTAACCTGAAATGTCACATTCGTTCTAAAATGTTCTCAGAGGGAGAGGTCACAACAGTTTACTTTCATAAAGGGATAATCATTTTAGGTTCCAGTTAACATAACAGGACATATACCTTTCTCAATGATCAGAACACTAGGGAGGGCTCTTTGGGGCTTGATGTGAGACACAGGCATAAAGTCATGTGAGAAGTTTGACCTGCAAAAGATGGAATCCAGCTTCCTCCCACCCTGGGTTCAGTGCTACTAGGCATTGACATTTCCCAGCAAAATACAATTAACCAAAATCCAAGAGTTGTTTTTCTTCAGAATAATTTTGATTTAATTTCTTCTTTCATATAAAAAGAAAACAAATTACATTTCAAAGAATACTGTTTAGGATATGAAGTTCCCGTCGGAGCAGTTTTGCAATAATATGTGTTTACATAATCTGAACTGAGGGCGGCAGTCAACTGTAAAACTGTGCCAAAAGGCCAGACTGTACGCATGTGGGGAGATTAATTTCACTTTAGATCACGAACTAATGCAACATTCTATTGTTTAGGTGTCTACTAGATTGGATTCAAATTAGGAGCAAACTGAGTTGAAAAACTAAAACCAAACACCAGATTCTAAAAAGCAATAGGTCAGTGCTTTGTAAGGAAAACATGCAGTATCAGTATTTTCTGCTCATACCCATGAACTCAAACATTTGACATTTTAAATACTAATATTTAAATAAGTCAAGTCTTTGGAGAAAATAAATTATGGAATCTTTCTGTTTTTAACACCCAAGATGTTACTAATCATTTTCCTTATTAATCAGTTGTACTTTGCTGCTCAAGATTCACAGACATAAATGCAAAGTAGATTAAAATACAAAGAAAACAATCAATAGTATACCAAAACAAAACTCATTGCCACGGAGTTGATTCTGACTCATAGCAAACCTATAGGACAGAGTAGAACTTCCCCATAGGGTTTCCAAGGCTGTAAAATCTATATAGAAGCAGACTGCCTCATATTCTCCCAGAGAGCGACTGGTGGGTTCAAACCATTGACCTTTTGGTTGGCAGCCCAATGCTTTAACCACTGAACCACCAGAGCTCCTTAAATTGTATACAGATGCAGTTAAAGAAATCTCATAAAACTCATCCTACAGGAAATGTGCCACAATACATGCAATTACTTGATTCAGTTTGATAGTGAGTGCCCCAGATAGCTAACATTTTGGACGGTTACCAGGAGGAGTCTAAAAATGGGTCCTTGCTTTCTTTACCTCTCAGGTTTCTTTACCAGCCCTTCCTGAGAGTCCCACCTAGAAGGGAGCTCCCCATTTCTTCTCTGTGTCAGTCTTCAGAACATACTGCCTTGCATTATAGTTAATCATGTCTATGGTTCCTTCACCTGATTAAAAGTTCCCTTAGGATATGAATGATGTCTTAAATATCTTTGTCTACTCCAAAGCACTGAACATTACAGTTCACACAATTATTTATAGGAACGAATAAATCAAAACATTAATCAAAATCTTCTCTTCCAACAAACTCCAAGTAGAAACTTGGACTTCTATGTTTAATAGCTGCCACTAAATTGTATTTGCAAAATATACTAAATGTAAATAAAGTAAATACACTTATTCCTCAATTATCAACTATCTCATTATCTGACATTTTGTATTTAAGACAATCGTAAAAAAATCCACTAAGTGACTATTTTGCCCATTAATGATGTACATCTGGCAGTAACAAACAACAAAGTGAGAGGCAAGAGTAATGCTGGTTACGATGGTTAAGGTTATGTGTCAACTTGGCTGGGCCATTATTCAGTGGTTTGGCATTTATGTAATGATGTAATCTGGCAGTTTGTGATGATGTGGTCATCTTCCATTTTTGCATAATGCCAGTTTTTGCATAATGACCTAGTCTTTGGAACCTAATCCTGTCAGTAAGTGAAGAGTGGGTGTATTTCCCCTTAATATAGTCTTTTTTTATGGATAGACTTATTTCCTACTCCAAATATATTTTTGGGGTGTGATGATCAAACTGAATTTGGATGATTACTCACAGATGTTAACTCAGTTACATGTTCTTTATCCTTATTAGTTTAGTATTAGTACCTGGAAGCTTACTAAGGAAGGTCATGCTAAACAATCCATTTTTAACTTTAGAATGTCCTCAGTTGTATGTTAAATAAGCTAAATTCAAAGCAACCAAGGATTAATGATATCAAAGCAAAAAAGAAAAACAAATTTTGTTAGAAAATTCAAAAAGATGACAAGAAAGGAAAGAAAGTCTAAAATTAACATGATGTGATTGGAGTGAGTCCATATCTCATCACTGTAACATGTGAGCCAGGAGATACATACTCACAAAGAGTTCTCTGACCAAGGCAAATAACAGGCCAAAAGAGTTGGTCTCATAGAAGGAAACTCAAGAAAGTTTCAGCTGTGATTCAGCAGAAGTCTAACATAGGGATCTGGAGGTCTAAATTATCAAGGAAACAAATGTAAGAATCCATATTAATTTTTAGTTGAGTAAATAATGCATTCTTTGTCATATTCATCAATAAATGGGCAAAATCAGTTTTCTCTGTGTTAAAACATTCAAGTACATTATTAAATGGAAGTGAATACAGTGAAACATCAAACAGAAATGTGATCTGGCAATATGTTACTGTAACACCCTGAGAATCTTTATTGGAGCCAAAATAAACCTAACCACTTTGTATCTCCAAGAGCAAAACCTAGCATGATTTTTGCTAGGACACACATTTTCACTCAGAAAACAAAATGAGATTGAAGAGGTAAGTGAATATGAGAAGGGTGAAGAGACTAGCATTATTCCTATTGTCCCTTTCCCCACTGCAATCACAGTATTTATTAATGGACTTGCTTTCAAGTTATCTTAGGAAAACATTTAGAATTACAGCAACAACAGCATTTACAAGTGAATTTATGTGGAACTGTTGTCAAAGTGCAAAATACTATGAAAGATCTTGAGAAAACAGTTGAGTACTTTACATAAAAAACTGAACAATCAGGTTAGCCAGGCCCAAAATGATGATGAAAGCATGAAAAACTAATTTAGGCCATGTCAGACGCTCTTCTTGATAGAGGGAAATTATGTAGATGAGAGATGGATATATAAATACAAAGGCCAGGCCGCATGCTGCTCCCGAATACCTGCAAAATCAAAGTGTTTTGTGTTAATATTCACCTTCCATTTTTACTGTTTCTGATTTACAGTCATGGTATAAATAGTACAACTTTAATACTCCTCCATCTGATATTGCAACAAAATTATTTTTGATTCATTTGTTGTTGACATAAAGCATCTGGGTTGAAGACTTATTTTACTTGCTATCTAAGTTAAGGTAAAATATTACTTCCTGTTCATCTTTAAAGCATCTGCTTGATAGAGAGTTTTTAATTCATCCCTTAAATCTCCATACTTCCTCTGGGTCTCAGTGATTGTGGCCACTTCCTCAGAAACATGTGGAGATAGGCTTCCTATCTTTGATCTTTTATAAACAGATTATGCATTCTAAGTTTCTGAGGGACTGGTACCATCTGTTTAAGAATGAGAACAGATGAGTGCCTCAGTGGCAGTTCAGTATAAGCATCAAAGATAACAACAAAAATACTGAAACAGGGGACTGTGACAGAGAAGCCTGCACTCCCTCTTCCCTTTCCCTACACTTGGGTTCTCTTGTGAACGGTTCAATAGGAACCTGTAAATACATTATGTGTAATAAGCACAAGGCCAATAATCTCCCCTCTTGCTTCTTACTACTTTCTTAGGTAGGGTCTTCAAAAAGTGCTTTAGCCCCACTGTGTGTAGGTTAAGGAGGAACAATCAGATCACTGTAAACCGCAGTCTCCCATGAGAATCCAAGGTCATAACACTACATAACTATACTGTCACTCTATTCAACCTGCCACAACTTTTTTAGGGAAAAGATAATAAAGAAAGCACCCCCTGGGACCTAAACACTTACCTAAACTATTACTCTCTGACTATAATTGCCAATTAAACGTGTTCTGGAATAGAAATAGTTTAGGGAAGTTAGGACACAGCCTTGACATATAAGGGCCTCACAGGAGGCCCCAACAAGTTACACAGCATACAGTTAATCTAACCCTTTATTTTGGATAAAATAAAAAGGAAATATAGAGGAAAATGATGGGGAAAAGAAAGAGAAGAGAAAGACTTGAGGTTAAAAGATAATGGGACTTTCAGCATCTATTCTCCACCAGGGATAAACAGAAATGGAAGATAATGAACACTTCAATTTATACCAGGGAACTAGATTTGAATGTTAACAGTTTTAAATAATAATAGGAATTTCATACAATTAAATTAAAACAACAACAAGGAAAGCCTAAAAAAAAAAAAAGACCAATATATGAAGGGGCACAATTCCCTTTCAGGAAATACCTTATGATTCCTCCTATGTTTGGGTAGAAACAGGCCATGATTACTCCAGCTCCCACAATGATTAGATTAAGAATCAAGACATGGAAAATGCTAGAAGAAAATTTGTAGGAGAGAAAAATATATAAAAACAAATTATAACCACTAATATTATAATAAATTTCCTTATTAATATCTTCAAAGTAAGAATATTTTAAGCTTGACAATAAGATCAGAGCAAAATTAGAAGGCAACAATAGTACACAGGCTGGCAATGGAACAGTGACATTTGTCCTTTTGTGCAATTATATAAATAGGTTAAATTTTGTAGAAGTAAACTGGCAGTGTGCATTTCAGTTCAGACTCCTTGTTCCCTACTTCTATTTGGAATATTTTAAGAAATAATCAAAATAATGAAAAAATGTATTAACATAACGATTTTTACAGAAAAACAGAAGTATCCTAGATGTACAGCAAGACAAAAATTTGCTCAATGTAATTAAAATTCCATCAACATTCTTTAAGGACAAGGAAGAACCAATCACTAAATTTTTAATAGAAAGGAAAGAGATCTCAGATAGGAAAGCACTACTGAAGAAGAAGAACAAATTAAGAAGTCTCACACTCTCAGATCTCAAAAATCTACTATGTAGCCACAGGAGTTAAAATAGCCTGGTATTGGTACAACAACAGGCACATAGACCAGTGGAACAGAATTGAGAACTCAGAAATAGATCCATCCACCTATGGTCAGCTGATCTTTGACAAAGGGCTGAAATCTCTTAAATGGGGGAAAGAGTCTCTTTAACACATGGTGCTGGCAAAAGTGGATATGCATTTGCAGATAAATGAGAGAAGAGCCATACCTCATACCACACACAAAAACTAACTCCATATGGATCAAAGACTTAAATATGAAACCTAAAACTATAAAGTTCATGAAAGAAAAAATAGAATCAAGCTTAAGAGCCTTAATTTATGGCATTAATAGACTTACCAGCATAACCCAAAATGCACAAACAGCAAAGGATAAACTAGATGATTGGGATCTTCTAAGAATTAAATTAAATTAAATTCTTAGGTGCATCAAGACTTCTCCAAAAAAGTAAAAAAGAAGATTGGGAAAAAATACTTGGCAACGACATTATCTGACAATGGACTCATCTCTAAAATGTATAGAAAATTCCAACACCTCAAAATCAAACAGACGAACAATTCAATTAAAAAATGGGCAGAAGACATAAATAGACACTTCACCAAAGAAGATATTCAGGCAGCCAACAAACACATGAAGAAACGTTTGAGATCATTAGCCACTCCAAAAAAGCAAACTCACTGTCATCAAGTTGTTTCTGTCTCATACCGACCCCCACTGGGTTTCCAAGGCTGTAAATCATAATGGAAGTAGATTGTCCCATCTTTCTTTCACAGAGGGGTTGGTGAGTTTGAACTGATGGCTTTCCAGTTAGCAGTCAAGTGCCATATGCACTACGTCACCAGAGCTCCATTAGCCATTACCAAACAAAAAACCCAAACTCACTGCTGTTGAGTCAGATCTAACTCATAAGGACCCCTCCTTGGGTTTCTGAGGTTGTATCACTACAGAAGTAGATTGCCCAATCTTCCTTCCAAGGAGTGGGTTTGAACCGCCAGCCTTCTGGTTAGCAGTAAATACTTCAGGCACTGTACCACCAGAGCTCCTCCATTAGCCATTACAACAAATAAGTAGATCGCCCAATCTTCCTTCCGAGGAGGGCCTTAGGCACTATGCCACTAGAGCTCCCCCTCCATTAGCCATTAGAGAGATGCAAATCAAAACAAAAATGAGATACCATCTCAACCCAGCACTAATAGGAAAGCTCAACAAGACAGAAAATAACAAATGCTGGCAAGGATGTGGAGAGACTGGGACTGTACTCTCATACACTGGTGGTGGGACTGTAAAATGATACAAACACTATGGAAAACAGTATGGTGATTCCTTAAAAAGTTCGAAATAGAAATACCATTTGATCCAGCAATCCCATTACTAGGTATATATCCTGAAGAAGTGAGAGCCAGGGCATGAATAAATATGTGCACACATATGTTTATCATAACACTATTCACAATACCAAAGAGATGGAAACAACCTAAGTGCCCATCAATAGAGGAATGGCTAATTAAACTATGGTACATGTATACAATGGAATACTATGCAACACAAAAGAATAATGTAGAATCTGCAAAATATTGCATAACATGGATGAACTTGGAGAGCATTATGCTGAGTGAAATCAGTCAACTGCAGAAGGACAAATATTGTATTAGTCAACTATTGCAAAAAGTCAAGGAAAGGTTTATATGTGGAAGGAAACTTTCTTTGTTGGTTACCAGGGATGGTAAGAAAGGAAAGGGAAAATTGCTAGATAGGTAAGAGATAAGTATTAAGTTGGGTAAAGGGAAAGGCAATAAAGCAAAAGTGAGTGACCAGAACTAAGGGAAATGAAGACACAGAGAGGTGCACAGAGGTACAGACAACAAAGATAACACTTCTACATATACAATACTGCATTATCAGTAATAACAAACATTAATCCACAGGGGTAGATACACAAGTAGACAGGCTGAATGATCAGGCACATCTAGGCAAAAGGGAATATACTTATGACCATATGTAAGTTTAAACAGCAATAGATATTTCCACATACATATTTACATGTGCTGTAAGAATGTCCATATTAATAGAACTAACAGGGGAAAAGGTATGATAATTTCTTAGCTATAGACAACCACATTGAGGGAGTGAGTTCTTGGGACTGCGGGCTCAGGACCATGGTTGTGGGGGACATGAAACTCAACTGCCATAACATACTACACAAAAACATTGTTCTACATCCTACTTTGGTGAGTACTGAATGGGGCCTTAAAAGCTTGCAAGTGGCCATCTAGATGCAACATGTGGTCTCTCCTCATCTGGAGCAAAGAAGAATGAAGAAAACCAAAGACGTGTGGAAATAATTAGTCCAAGGGACTAGTGGACTATGTGAACCTCAGCCTATATGACCCGAAGAACTAGATGGTGCTCAGCTACCACTGTCAACCACTCGGAAAGAGGTCAGTGCAGATGATCCTGGACAGAGTGGGAGAACAATGTGGAACAAAACTCAAAATCATAAAAAAGATCAGGCTTACTGGTCGGACAGAGACTGGTCAGACCCCTGAGATTACGGCTCCTAGTCACCCTTCAAGCCTGGAATTGAACCCACTCCCATGGCTTCCAGCCAAACAATAGACAGCATATAAGGTGAACATTTATGCCAGGGAGGTACATTCCTTAGAACAATCAGTCATGGGAGATCAGAAGGGCAGTATTTGCAAAGGGAGATAAGGCAGGGGGCAGGAATGCAAAGGAAAGAAGGACACAGAAAAGGTAATGGCAGAGAAGAAGTGGGAAGAGAGCTGCTTCATTAGGGAATTGTAGTCAATGTCATCTCTCATCTTGGAAGGAAGATGGGGCAATCTGGGGCAATCTACTTCCTCGGAAACCCAAGGAGGGGTTGCTATGAGTCGGGTCCGACTCGCGGCACACAACAACAACAACAGTCAATGTCATGAAACAAAATATGTATGAATTGCTGTATGGAAAATGAATTTGCTCTGTAAACTTCCAACCAAATCACAATAAGAAAAAAAATCACTTGATAGGATGTATTAAAAATAATAAGCTATCATTATTATTGCAATGGTAAAAAAAAATCTAGTTAACTTGGAAAAAGGCTAGTTGTATAACTGGATATATAATAAGATTTTCATTGCCCAAGAAAATCTGAAAACATCTGAAAAAATATCAGAAAGAAATATGCTGAAAAGGCAGTAATGATTGTGGTAGTATCTGAGATACCGGTACTTTTTCCTATATTTAACAAACTTTTTGTAAAGTGGCTATTTTAATCAAAAAATAAATTATATTAAGGATATGCCAAATGTGTAGGTTTTTGCTTTCTAGTTTAATCACTTAAAAAAAAAAAAAAAACAAACAAACTCACTGCCATTGAGTTGATTCTGACTCATAGCGACCTCCTAAGGTTTCCAAGGCTGTTAATCTTTACAGAAATATACTGCCTCATCTTTTTTTCCTACAGAGTGGCTGGTGGGTTTGAACCACTTACCTTTTGATTAGTAGCCCAATGCTTTAACCACTATACCACCAGGACTCCTTAGAACAATGATTTATTTCTTTTTGTGATTTGGTTGGAAGTTTACAGAGCAAACTCATTTTCCATACAGCAATTCATACACATTTTGTTTCATGACATTGACTATAATCCCCAGAATGAAACAGCTCTCTTCCCACCTCTTCCCTGTGGACACCTTTTCTGTGTCCTTCTTTCCTATGCATTCCTGCCCCCTGACTTATCTCCTTTGGCAAATACTGCCCTTCTGATCTCCCATGACTGATTGTTCTAATCATCGTTAAATGGTTAACATTTAAAGCTACTCGTTACTTACTATGAATAATAAATACTTTAACTAGATGTTCTGTATCCAAAGGTTTGGAAACTAATTTTGGGCATAAGTAAAAATAATGCCAATGAAATGTAATGATCAAGGAATACCTCCATCCCCTACCAACCCCAGAAAAATGATTCCCAAAAGCCAAATTTACATATAAAAGCAACTCTTAGAGTCTGAGTTATCAGAGTTATCAGAGGTCAATTAATCACAGGAAGAGATTACAGAAAGAATTAAAAATGAGAAAAATGATTTACACAGATAGGTGAGGTTACTCATATATCCTCATGAATTACACAGATATAGATATACAGGCTTTTAGATCTTACTATTTCTCCAGAAACTCCAAACTTAAAATTGTTTCCAAGCTTTGTGACACTGCCTGAGCCTTCAATATTTTTTAGTTGCACAAGGAAACAACTCTGTGTATTTTTCAAAGCAGTGGTTCTCAAAGTCTGACCACAAACCCCAAGGAGTTGCCAAATCCCTTCAAGGAGTCCCTGAGAGAAAAATTGTTTTCATAATAATATAAGACATTATTTGCTTCATGAAAGCAATGGTGGGCAAAACTTCTGGCCTTTAGCAAAGGTCTAGACAACTGCACCTATTTCTTCCAGGAGATACTATATTCTTTACTGTCACATATTCATCCTGCTCCCAAACCCCAGAAAAAAGGTGTCATTAAAATGTGCCCTTGATAAAGGAGTAAAAAGTATTAATTTTATTAAATCTCATGCCTTGATCATATATATTTTAATATTCTGTATGGTGAATGAAATAGGTAAACCCCTTGCTGTTGACTGATTCCGACTCATACAGACCATATAGGGCAAAGTATAACTGCTCCATTCGGTTTCCAAGGCTGTAATCTTTATGGAAGCAGACTGCCATGTCTTCCTCTTGTGGAGTGGCTAGTGGGTTTGAACCACTGACCTGTCAGGAGCTGAGCTCCTAACCACTGTACCACTAGGGTTCCTTGATAAAATGGGTAGCAAAAAATAAAGCATTTCTGTTGCATACTGAAGTTCAGTGGTTGTTTTGAGGAAAAGTACTTGTGTGACTGAGTTGGTGGGCAACCTAGTTAATTTTTTCAAGGAACACCATTTGGATTTGAAAGACAAACTATGGTCATTTGGACGTGGGTACGTGACAAACAGTTTCTTGAAAATGAATGATGTGAGCCTGCCAACTTAGAAAAACAACTCTAAGTATTTGCTACCAATGATAAAATGTGAGCTCAAGGAAAAATTAAGATTTTGGAGAACTTGTATTCACTTGTATTCACCCTGAGCTTGATAGTTTCTCAATATTTAAAAACTTTTATGATGAAATTGATGGGGATATGAACAAATACGAGTTTTGATATTGTAAAATATAATATCAACATTTGGAAGATCCACAGAACTCAGTGAACCAAACAGTTTCCAAATGACCAAACATGATGTTACAAAATCACTCATGGGTAAAAGATTCATATTGCAAGACAAACCAATGGGTTGTAACGTAACTGAGTTTCAGATTCCACATTGCAACTAACCTTTAAGAATCTACCACTTACCAAGTGTTAGCATAGTATTAAAGAAGAATATCCACAATTATCTGAAAAGGCTATCAAAAAACCCCTTCTTCTTCCAACTATGTATCTGTGTGAGGCTGGGATTTCATCATGTACTTAAAAGAAAACATTTCACAATAGATTGAATCCAGAAGCAGATATGAGAACCCAAATGTCTACCAGTAAATCAGACATTAAAGAGATTTTCAAAAATGTAAAGCTAATTTTCATTAATTTTTTTTTTTTGGTTTGGAAATAGTTATTTTCCACAAAACTGTTATGTGTGGTAACAAATAATGATTTTATTATTGATAGATAAAACCCACATAAGCTACAGCTCTTGGGGGTCCTCAATAAACTTTCAGAGTATAAAGGGGTTCTAAGACCCAAAAGTATGCTCCAACGTATGTGTAGTTTGTGGAGTACTTGTCACTGTGGATATGCGTGTTCTTGGTGGTAGAGTAAAAAATGTAATTTTAACTTGAAAGGGAAATCCCAATCTAACATCCACCATTCGGCAAAATATTGGCAGAAAAGAAGAATAATTGCATTTGCCTAAAATTTTTACATCTATTACTTCACTGTATTGATTTTCTTTTGGTGAATGTAAATATAGCATAGGGCATAAACATAACAGGAATCCTATGTTTACTGAAATCCAATCTTCTAGGTAAGCTACGTTAGAACTGTAGCTGCTGTTGCTATCAATACTAGAGATCTGGTAACTCTTGACTTTTGCATTTTGCTTTGCTTTTTTAAACCAAAATACTTATACCAAGAAAAAAAAAACAAATTCACTGCCGTCAAGTCAGATCCGACGCATAGCGACCCCTCCTTGGGTTTCTGAGGTGGTATCACTACAGAAGTAGATTGCCCAGTCTTCCTTCCGAGGAGTAGCTGGTAGGTTTGAACTGCCAGCCTTCTGGTTAGCAGTCAAATGCCTTAGGCACTATGCCACCAGAGCTCCAAAATTATTTTGTTAATGAGGTTCACTTCAAACAAGTACCAAGACCACCTGTTTGATCGGTTCCTGTAAATGCAATTTTTTTTTCTCAAATTTTATTCAAAAGTTTTCTTCATTTAAGATAACTTATTCTCAATAAATTAGGTTAGGACTAGGTGCTTTGCACTAGGCTGAACCCTAATAAAATTTAATAATCTAAGAGCAGTAGTTAACCAGGGGTCCACAAAGAAACTTCCAGGAGGCATTGCAACAGCATATGTAAATTTCTCTTTGATGAAAGTGACTAGATTTGAACAGATTTTCAAAGAAACTGACAACTCTTCTACCTTCAATGAGAGATTAAAAGTTATAGCAATAGTTAAAGAAGCAGGTAAGAATTTAAGCTCAGTTATATAGCTCATATTCAATTCCAAACCACTGGCCATTTATGTAAAGATGCATGAATGGGAATAAATACATAAGTAAATACCAATAACCAATAGTTAAAAGAGTCACTTTTCATAAGCCACACATTACCAACACAGGTACTATAGACTATAAATAAGTATCATGGCAACCCAAAGATTAACAGCAACTAAATAATAAGTTAAATATAACTGGCAATGGAGCTAATATAACTCTACTGGAAAGAATGTACTATAAGTCATTCTGGACAAGGGAGTGGTTTTTCTATTTTTAAAGTTCTTCAGGGAAAGGGTGTCAATGATCTATCCTTAGTAACCATTTTCATTAGACAAAATTTTATTG